GATCAGTAGTGGAGCAGCAAGGACTCACAGGCACCCATATGGGATTCCAGCACTGCAGGTGGCTTCTTTACCAACTATGCCGCAGCACCAGCCCCCTAATTGCTTCTTAAACTGACTTTATGTTAATCCTTCAACTAATTCTTCTACTGCAATTCTGCACTCCAGAGCTATCTTCATGGAAAGTTTAGTGGGTTTGCTACTTCAGTGAAAATTATCTATTCTGCCAAGGAAATATCATCATGAATTGACATATTTTAATATTTTATTCCATTTTCCCATCCTGCATTATACAACAAAACACACAGAAGTCATATCCTAATGAAGTTTTGGTCGGATAAAGTGTTTTGAATTTTCTTGTATAGCTACACCCTCTTTTCTTTAGCTTTCCTCTTGGTTCATAGACTCCATTTTATTGGTATTTAGTTGATTTCAAATTATTGTATCCGTTTTAACCTTTCTTCTTGGAATATATTCATGATGGATGAATTTATGAGATGTTTATATTTCATCATTAGTTTAGCTTCTTTATCTCTGGCAAGCAATACACAAATACCTATTTATGATAAATAAAACTTTTTATATGTTGGTTTTTAGAAATACTTCCAGCAATTTATTGCTAGCTTAGAAAAGTGTGTTGTATGTGTTTTGTTTTCTATTTGCTAACAGAAAACATCTGTTAGTTTGGAGCATTCTTTAAAGAGATACTTCCAAATCACTTTGGCCTCAAGTCAAAACTAATTCTTGGGTTTAGACAAAATAAAGTTACAAAGAGAATGCCTTATACATATTTTCATTATTTTTTTAAGTATAATTCATTTGCTGAAAATGGAAAGGGTGATATTAAGGATTTTGTTGATTTTATAAAGCTAGATGTTAGAATTATATATTCTGAAATTCAATGGAGTGCAACTGGGCACAGCATTAAATAGCATTTTAAAATATGAAAGCCAAAACCTGGAATCACTGAGGAAAAAGATATTTTTTCTGGAAAGTAGTAATTACGTACAAGAGTAGTAGTTCCATGCATATTATCCCCATCTTTTTCTTCTTTTGTTAACTCTAGTACACTTTAGAGATTATGATGATCTTTTTCCTTTCTTTCTCTTTTTTTTTTTGAGAGAGAGACAAAGCATACCTCCCCTCCCTGCCCCAGATGCCCATTGTGACACACAGTGCCTGAACCGGGATAAATCTAGGTAGGACTGCTGAAGCCAGAAGTTCAGGTCTTTAACGTGAGTGTCAGAAGCCCAGTTACTCAGACAGTCACTTCAGCCTCCCAGGATCTTCATTAGCAGCAAGTTGGAGTCCGGATCAAAAGCCAGGAATCAAACCCAGGTGCTTTGAGGAGAGACAGGGACATCTTAACTGCTGGGCTAATCACTTCCCCTGAGAAAGTGTATTTTCATTTTGTTGAATTCTAAGTGAGAGTTCTGCCTCTACAGTTTCAAAAGCATGCTCACCAAGGAACAAACAGCTATTAAGCAAGGACCCTGGCAGAAATAAATACATGAAAAGTAAATTTTCCTACATTGAGAGGAAATAGCTTAGCTTTAGTGGTTTTTATAAATCAGTAATGTGCAACAGTCTAGATTCCAGTAGTTGTCATTAAATCCATCCAATATGTCTTGCCTTCAATGTGGGTATATTTACTGACTCTTCACTGTTAAATTCAGAGACTTTATTCACAGAGCACAGTGGATAGGACCTCACCATCACCACTTTGCGCTCTGTTCTAGGCCCACTCTATTTAAACAAGAAATAAACTAACTCAGGGATATCCAAAAGAATTATTCTGACAGCTCCTACTTGACTTGTTGACTATAAAATAAACCAGTACAGAGATGACCCTGTACAGCCAGTGTGCTACTTATTTATTCAGATGTCTTCAATTCGTATTTACTGAACATCAATTCTGTTTTGTTTTAATGTATGGTAACTCATTCTGTTGTTCTTTGCAGGGCCTAAGTACCAAAGAAGACGGGAAACCACCACTCATTGAGCCCACTATATATTTAGCTTTGACTGAAATACTCTAATGTAATCCTTACAACCATGTGGGCTTGGGTGATATTACTCCTATTTTTTAGATGCAAAATCTGAAGAATGATGTTCCCCAAATCATCCAGCTTAGGCAATGGTAGATCCAGCATTTAAGTTCACATCTGTCTGATGCTAAAGCATCCCACACATTTCAAACCTGTATGCTCTTGGCTAAACCCTGCTTCACGAGTGCAAGGATGATTTTGTCTTTGGACAGAGCAGTAGCCCTAAGGTCTCATAAGCATCACTGTTTCCCTGAGAGCCTACGAAGCCTTCAGTTTCCTGGGTTTTGTAGTAAGAGAGAGATACTGGTTATGCTTGGTTTCATGAACCATTTTGCAGAAATGTAACTTTCCTACATAAGAGCAAGATTATACACATTTTTGTAGTCATTTTTTAAAAAGTCAATCTAAGGGTGACCTTTTTAGAATTTAAAATTTTATATCTTTGAATTGACCTGTTTTTATGTTTGGTCCCTATTGGAGTTGCCAAGGGAACAGGAATTTTATTATGAACCATTTACTACCTAACAGAGTGCCTGGATATTTTCTTAAATATTTGTAGAAGAGTGACAGTTTGGAAGCCATAGACTTGTATAGGAAACTGTCCTGCTTTGCTGTTGTTTGGCATCACCCCTGTCTGCATCTTCTTAGAATAGAATCCATTCCTGGTCTTTTTCAAAGATTTTCAGTCCTCGCTCTACTTCTCAGCCCAAGTGTATGTCTTTTAGTTCAGATCCAGAAAGTGGAGAAGTCTCTGAGAGTTTGTGCTGTGATGCTGTTCTTTATGAAACTTACGAATAAAAGACAGTACAGTTCAGAATAGCAATGAAATTTTTCAGTTCTCTTAGTAAAAATAACGCAGTTTCCATCCTCCTCCTCTCTCGCTCTCTCACTCTCACTCTGTCTTAATTCCAAAATGGAAATTCTCCTTCTGTCCTTTGAGGCTATGTTTTAATCAAACCAAATTTTGAGTTGTTTTAGCTATCTGATAAGCTCCCTTATTAAGGCTGCAGTTTTGATTGGATCTGAAGGCTGGAGCAGACATGCAGCCTGAAGAGGAGTTGCAAATCATGGAGGGAATCCCTTAAAATAACTGAGTTGAGAAAGAAAAATGGACAAGCAATCCATGCCCACGTTGTATGGCCCTCGTTGTATATGCCCTCGTTGGATGGATTAGGAATAACCCCTTGGAAAGCAGTAGGAAGTCTAGCTGTAGATTTCTACTTTTTCAGTCAGAACATTTGCAGCCCAGGCGAGACCAGTTCAAAGGACTGATACCACTATCCACTACGTGGGTAGTCTTGAAGTACCATCTCCACTCTGAAGTCATAAGTCCTGACAAGAGTAAAACAGTCTGAGCCCTTACTGAAATGCCTGTGACAGAGATGACTTATAAAGGGACTTCCTGATAAGCCCTGTTGTTCTTATTGTTGTCACAGGCCTTATGAAAATTACAAAGTAGCTTTCCATATTTGCTTGTTAATAGCAGATAAAGTGTGTTATCTAGAAGGAAAATGATAAAAGTTTTGTATTGAATGGGAAATCTTCATATTTAACTTTGTTGTAGACATTTTACCTTCCTCGTTTTAAGACTTACATTATAAAGAAAATTTATTTGGGAAGAATGTTTGTTTTTAACATAGCAAGAAAATGGAGAACAGAAAAGTATAATTATATATGGTTAAGTAACTTGAGTGTAAACAAAAACTTGATTGCTTTTAAAGAACTAAGAGATAGTTATTAGATGTTAGAATGGTCAGTGTGGATAGTACACTGGGTTCTAGATGAAATAATTAGTAAACTCTAATTTGAATCACAGAAACAGACTTGCCTATGAGCTTATAAAAAGTGTTTTGTTTTTTAAGGACACATTAAGAGTTTTTAACTCCTATCCATTTGGCATATATGCTATCCCAGAATCATGTTGTTACATAACAAGTTGGCAATCCCATTTAACAGTTTACTTCAACAGTAGTTATTTTAGTTCATCTCTGATCTGTGTTTAATAATGAAACACATCCTTGCCAATATGTTTCATTTTTAATTAGGATCCTGTAGGATTACCTTCAGGAGACAACAGTGCCTTTTGGCATCAGCTTTCATTGAAGTTAGTGTGTTTTGTTGCCTGTATCTTCTTAGAGGGATGCTGATACCAGTCTTGACAACTCAGATCTGTTTCTGAAATTTGTTGCAGGAAGTGAAACAAAGTACTGAAATCATCATAAAAGGAAACCACTATTCTCCAGTCTTTAAAGCATGTCATCAAAACATGACTCAGAACTGCAAATTGAATTTCTGTAGTCGAGAGTTTATCACTTACATGTCCTATATATTATAAATATTTCTTGCTCACACTTAACCAGCAGACACAGAAGGACTGTGTAGAAGGCAAGAACTCATCCTTGACTGAGGCCAGAAATAGCAAAAGTATGTTTCTGTGCCCTCTTGCCCTGCGTGGCCCAGGTTCTAGAGTCAGCTCTACTTCACATGGTTGCTGGCATCATTTAGTGAGCCCTGAAAAGAACTTTACCATTAAGTGACATGAATGCTGGGGTCTAAAGTACATTAACTATTTTTATTGGTCAATTTGAAGAAAAAATGTTAATATGGAAATTTCACGTTAAGAAACTGACCAGTTGAATATTGAATGTGTTTTAATAAGATATAAAGTTTCTTTTCCTCCATTATTCTTACAGGCATAATGAAATGGCTTAAAAAGATAAAATTTTCTCTCTAGGGTAGGCATGCTTTTGACTTGTTATCCCTAGTTTATTGCAAGTTCATTCTTTGTGTTCAAAAGTTTAATTTTATATATTCTAGACAGGTCTCAGAGATTAGCCACAGTTTATTTAAATGAAGAAGACACACACAAACAATGCAATAGTTTTTTTTCCCCCCCCAGAAAGAATTCACTTACTTACTTTTCTTAAAAACATCTTTCCCATTTCATTGAGGCAGATTTGGAAGTCAAACCAGAAACTTCAGGCTCTACTACGATGGAAAGCACTTTGTTGGGGAGAAACGCTTTGAGTCCATCCACGATCTGGTGACTGATGGCTTGATTACTCTCTATATTGAAACCAAGGCAGCAGAATACATTGCCAAGATGACGATAAACCCAATTTATGAGCACATAGGATACACAACCTTAAACAGAGAGCCAGCATACAAAAAACATATGGCAGTCCTGAAAGAGACACAGGATGAGAAAGATTCTACAGGCCAGGATGGGGTATCAGAGAAAAGGGTAAGCGACCATGAAACCACACTTTATCTTTTTCTGTTTGGGTCCTCTTAAGAAAACCATTATTTCCAGAATACATTGATTTCTCCACAATGCTTTAAATGGTACATGCATTTTCTTTTCTTTCTTTGTTTCTTTCTTTTTAATGTCTAGTTTCTGTGGTGTTAAACTGCTTGTTTAGTTAAAATATGTCAGATATATTTACTTCTGTGCTCCTGATTGTTTCTTATTTTATCAGTTTCATAGTTGTAAAAATATGTTGGAAAAAAGGTACTTAGAAAAAAAAGTTCAGAAGATTTGGTCAGAAGCTTAAACTTATGATTAAGAAAAGAGCTATTTCTTTATATGGAATTAAGGGGGTCATACTATATCAAAACTTTTTTTGTTTGTCATGAAGTTAATGTGCTTTATAAATGGTTCTGCTCTTCATTGAGATTTATTTATTTTCTACTGCATGTGATTCAATTCAGTCAATTACTGACCATTAGATAGTGTTAGTAATCAGACAGTCTTGAGTTGGGGAAGCTTCATCCCTTTATGGACTGTTGACAAGTTACTGAGTCAGGAAGATCTACTTCTCCTTATTTATAAAAGAAAATTTAAATGTTTCAGTTGTCATATTTTCATTGTGATGGATTTTAAGTTAACATAAAAAGATATAATTCTTTGACATTAACATGATTTAATTTTTGAAAACTGTCCCCACCATTCCCTTCACCAAGATGATGTGAGAAAATTTTCTGATATTGTGTGGAATTTCATTGGAGGAATTTTAGGTATTCCAATTGGAACTTCATTCATTAGTTTTTATATTTTGAGAACCTTTAATTGCTAGTTCAAAGAAGCCTAGTAGGTTTGGAACTTGAATTCCATTCCAAGATTTGTGTGCAAGTTACTTAATTTCTCTGTACTTAGATTACCTGATTTGTAAAATTGTAATAAATTGTGAGGATTGAACGAGATAGTATGTGTAAACTCAGACAGTGCTTGGCATATGGAAAGCATTCAATATGAGTTTTATGGCAGTGTTTTTGAAATAACTATGTTACTTCAAAGTAGCACCCTATAAAACTTCCATTTATTTTGGAATATTTAGATATAAATTGGAAATTTAGATGTTTATTATCCAGGGAAAGTTTTAGCTTATGGCATATCTTTCTTGGATTGTTAATCTGTGGCTATAGAGAAACCAGTGTTTTAAGTGATAAGCTGTAAGACATTTGTAAATAATGAGTTTTCATATATTCATATTTGTTAGGAACCATGAACCTTGTTTAGAAGTAGTCAGAATTTGAAATTCTAAATATATACTTATTTTGTTCTTCCATTGTCTAATTCCTGTTTTTACACGTTGGTTGATTTTCTATCCATGACATTTTAAAATAATGCTTGCACTTAAATATTTAATACTGACATTATATTCTATACAGATGTACTAGAATATTCTAAGTCAGCATTTGTGAAGTGTTTTAAATGTGTACATATCAGTCTTTCAAAAGTTGATCAGGCTAATAATAACCTTTGCTAATGTGTTCTGTACATACTTTTCCCCACCCAGGGACTTGAGCTGCAGACACTTAGCTATTTAACATTAGGCTGCATTTAACTTCACAGGGCCTTGGTTGTCCCTCCTGCAAAGTGGAAATGATATTCACAGAGGCAGCGGACCAAGGCAGATACTGCCTGGTGCACACCTTTAGCACGAGGAGGCATGATTCCCAGTGAGTTCTGGCAAAATTGCATGTCAGTTCCTGGATTATCTTGTACTGGTAGCCAGTGATAGCTATTTAGAGGAAAAGCTGGCATTGGGAAGTATCTCCAGCAGTACATAATTAAGACATTACATATTAAGAATAATTTAAACTTAAAATATCATTTTAAAAATTACTCTTTGCTTCAGATTGCATGCATCTTAAATCTAGTTGGCTTGGCTTAAAATCTACTCACTCAAAAATAGATTTATTTTATTTACAGGTGTCATCCAACAGGACAGGGATGATGACCTGTTCAACAGCTTGAAACGTTGATTCCCTGTCACAGTGGATGACATTTGTAAGTAAAAACAATCATATTTCATTGACTAAAAAAAAAAAACTATTGACACAAGTGTGGTTTAATAAATATTTTAATGGGTCTTTAATACTTAAAACACTTACTGTCCATGACTCCTTCATTTCAGAGGCAAAGAGTGTTGGTGTTGCAGGAATTAATATCCTGTTGTAGAAAGGGTACTAGTGTTGGAATTAAGAGCTAGGTTCTAGTTCTACTATAGCAGTGGATTTTACATGTCATTTTGGGTAAACTGCTTCACTTCTCTGACTACATATCTCCCCACCTTTTACAGGAGAGATTGAGACTAGATGAACTATAAGATGGCTTCTTATAGTCTGTGATCCTTCGTGGAGTATAGGTATTGAAAGAGAGGTAGTACAGTACTAAAAATAGCACCCTAGTGGGGTCTGGAAAGGCAAGATCTGTTTTGTTTGTCCACCAATTAATCTATGAACTTGGAACAGTTACCCAGCCTGTCTGCACTTGAATTTCTTCATATGAGATAAGGAAACATTAGTTTCATAGGATTTTAGTAAATACTGCAAAACGGGTTCTGCATGCATTTAGGTGTGATAAAAATTACATTTTAAAAATTCTTTTCATATACACCTTTTCAGCTTTGCTAATGACCTCATATGGTTATAACTCTCCAATAGTGTTACCAAATTTTTTTGAATCACCTCCCTTTATTAAGAATACTTTTTGGGGGCTGGAGCTGTGGCATAGAGGGTAAAGCCGCTGCCTGCAGTGCTGGCATCCCATTTGGGAGCCAGCTCAAGTCCCAGCTGCTCCATTTCTGATCCAGTTCCCTGCTAATGTGTCTGGGAAAGCAGTAGAATATGGCCCAAGTGCTTGGACCCCTCCACCCATGTGGGAGACCTGGAAGAAGTTCCTGACTCCTAGCTTCAGATTGGCCCAGCTCTAGGCATAGCAGCCATTTGGGGAGTAAACTAGCAAATGGAAGACCTCTCTCTCTCTCTGTCTCTGCCTCTCTGTCTTTCAAATAAATAAATAAATCATTTTTTAAGAATACTTTTGGAAAATAACGTTTCATGAAGTCCACTTTGAAAATTTTTGAACCAAATAATATTTTAATGTCTTTTTTTGTTTTAAAATTCAAAGTTGAGAATTCCAGGTATTTTTGTTTATGCAGTTCTTAAGGGATTAAGTTGTGTGTCTGAGCTTTTGTGAAAGGTTGAAAGAATTAACTTTATGGCCATGAAGTTTTTTTTTTTTTTTCTTTGTCACAGGAAGTAAACCCAATGAATTACTAGTCCCAAGAAAATCTGGTGGTCCATTGTGAGGGAAAAACATTTTTTCCAAGTAATAGCTGTTCCATTTTTCTCATTAGTACTTAAGTTGTTTCCTTGGCTTGAAATAGCCATTAAAAACTTTATTTTTAAGGTTTGTTTTATTTATTTGAAAAGAAGAGTTAGAGAGAGAGAGAGAGAGAGATCTTCCATCCTCCCCAAATGGCCACAACGGCCAGGACTGGGACAGGCCGAAGCCAGGAGCTTCATCTAGGTCTCAGGGGCCCAAGGACTTAGGCCTTCTGCTGCTGCTTTCCCAGACATATTAGCAGGGAGCTAGATTGGAAGTGAAGCAGCCAGGGCTTGAACCAGCACCCCTATAAGATGCCAGCATTTCAGGTGGTGGCTTAACCTATTTCACCACATCGCAGACCTCCCATTGGAAACTTGAAAAATTTTTAACATTATAGTACATTTAATCATAAAATTGTAGCACACTGAGAAGTCAGATTTCATTCTCTTCTAAAATGACTTAATTCACCACTCCAGAGTAGCCGTGAGCCCAACCTTATTTACTTCTTAAAATTTAGCTTGTAACTAGATTTGAATGGTTTCTTGTTCCAGGTAGTAAATATAATATGTTTGCCTCAGCAGAGAGTACGGCTGAATTCTGTAGCCTTTGTGATAATTTTATACTTACTAATAATGTAATTTTAAATCCCCCAAACCCATCCTTTAGGAAAACATCTCATATAATATAAACTACCAAATAAAGTCTGTAATTTACATTTCAGAAACTATACTAAGAACCAAAGTTCTGAATCTAGGCAGAATGTCTTTACTGCTTGATTGAGTGATCTAAATTCCCAACCTGTCCCACAAAAAAAGATGTTTATGTTGGCAAAAGTATGCAAAATGAAGTGTTTGATTCTGTAGAACTTTGACAACTGTGTGTGTGTGTGTGTAACTTTTCTTACTTTGTAAGTTTGGAGTGCATGTAGTGCTTTACATATTAATGTATTATTAAGGAATCTCTTATATTTAAATTCCATTTTCTGGAACCACCATTTTGCACAGTGGTTAAGCCACTGCTTAGGTGCCTGTATCTCATATCAGAGTCCCTGGGGTTGAGTCCCAACTCTGTTTCCAGTCCAGCTTTTTTCTGCTGATACATACACTGGGAAGCAGCAGATGACAGCTCAAAGTGCTTGAGTCCCTGTCACCCAGATAGGAACCAGCACATGGAAGATCAATCAATCTCTCTCTCTCTGCCTTTCAAATAAAATAAATCGATACATTTTTAGTTTCATTTTTCAAAGACTTTCTTGGGATTACCAGACTACATACCTGTAGGACAACCTCATGAAATTTGAAGCTGAGGCCAGCGCCGCTGCTCAGTAGGCTAATCCTCCGCCTTGCAGTGCCGGCACCCCAGGTTTTAGTCCCGGTCAGGGCGCCGGATTCTGTGCCGGTTGCCCAGCTCTGCTGTGGCCCAGGAAGGCAATGGAGGATGGCCCAAGTGCTTGGGCCCTGCACCCGCATGGGAGACCGGGAGGAAGCACCTGGCTCCTGGCTTTGGATCAGCGCGGTGCGCCGGCCACGGCGGCCACTGGAGGGTGAACCAACAGTAAAGGAAGACCTTTCTCTCTGTCTCTCTCTCTCACTGTCCACTCTGCCTGTCAAAAAAAAAAGAAAAAAGAA